AGGGAGGGAGGAAGGAATATGTGTTGGGTACCCACTCTATGCTGGACTCTGAGTTAGGTGCTTTTACTAGTCTTAATGATTCCAACATCTTTTGAGGCAGTTATTTGCATTGTAGAGATGATGGGGCGCTGATAAGGCACCTACTTAACATGAGTAAACATGAGGAGCAGGTCGAGGTGGAACATGATGGCTACTACACAGCATCAGAATGAGAGCTTGAAGCTAACAGGTCCGGACAATGGGAAAGCATGCTATTGACTATTAACTTCTGGACTGTGCTGTCTGAAGGCGTGTGTGGATAGGAACTGCAGTCGATTGGCTCCTAGGGTGCCCAGTGCAGAGGAGATTGTGGGTGTATGCAAAACTACTGGAGTATATATTATATATGTACTCAAAATATACATATATTTAATACTCACCAAGGATATTTTTTCCATTGCTTTCAGAGAGAGTGGAAGAGGGAGAAAGAGAGAAAGGGAGAGAAGCATCAATGTGAGAGAGACACACCCTCCTGACTGGAGGGTCACCAGCGATTGAGCCTGAAACTGAGGTACATGCCCTTGACTTGAATCGAACCTGAGACCTGTCAGTCTGCGGGCTGGTTTTCTAACCACTGAGCAAAACTGGCTAGGGTTGAAGTTTGATGCCAAGTCGAATCTGTTTGACACAGAACTGGAGCATCCCTTGGTGGCTGCACCAGATCCAGGGTCCTCCTGAGAGATTCCTGGTCCTGGACTCTCTCTGCCCAGATGCACCAAGTACCTTCAGGCCAGATGTGCAGGCATTCGCACAGCCAGTTCAATGTCTAGATTTGTTTTACTCTTCTGGTCCAAGATTCCCCCCTGAGTGTGGAGAGCTGGGAAAGACCCAGTGGAGCACCAAGAAGGAGCTCAGCGTCACCTCCCGTCTGTTAGGGCTTCAGCAGTGTTTCCATGAGCCCCAGCCCTGGGACCCTCTGGCACCCAGGATGTGGAGCTTCTTGCTGACTTACCATTCTTGGCACTTTTTGGACTCATCCCAGTTCTCACTGTTTGATGCCATCAAATTGTCCCCTGACTGTTCTGGTGAATCTCTAAGGACCACTGATTGACAACCTCTGTTTCAAGATACAGTATTCCCAAATGGTTAGCGAGGTGGCCCAAGCCACCAAGAGCTTTGATGACTACTAAGGGTGAGGGACTTGGTTGCGGTGAAGTGGCCCTGCAGTTTACCCAGCAGATGCCTCCTAGCAGCTGCAGAGAGTGTGGGGTGAGGGGCATGATGGAGGCTGGGTGAGGGCGGCTGCACTAATTAGAGATTCTAGAATTGCATAGGTTTCATTCACTTGAGTCCTGCCGCCTCCTACAAGCTTGTGGGTCTTCTGTTCTCTGAAGTCAGTCTACCTTTGCTGAGAAGCTATTTGGCTCTGCATTTGCCTACTCTGGAGAGCAGAGTTTGGGGGAATTGGAATTCAGGCGCCCAGATATTGGTGTGGGCCCAGTGGATCAGCCCTGGGCAACCAAGGCCCAGAGTGGCTGTGAAGGGGGGATGTGTGAGGAGAGTGGCCACTCTGGGCCTGAGTTACCTCAGCCGTCCTTCCTCCCCAGCTTTCCCCTCGGCATGGCCAGGCCACCCACCTGCCAGCTCAGCTGTCTCCTTGCTCACCATGTAATCCCTGCCAGGAAAAGAGGGGGGAAACATGAGCCGGGCCTCTCCCACTGCATCCTGCCATCCTGTCCTCCCTCCCACCAGGAGGGACACAGGGAGGGGGCTGGGGACAAGGAAGGGCAGGGCCCAGGC